CGGCGCGAAAAGCGCGCCGCGCACAGAGAAGAGGCAGATGATATCGAATCGTAAAATATTAATATTGCCATCGGCGGCGTACAGCACCGTAAACAGTAAAGTGGCTGGCTGGCAGTAAGCGGACTATCGTCGGTATGCCAGCCAGGTGAATCCGTTCCCACACAATGCCGTGCCTGGAACCACACGGCGCGCGCCTTGCCCAAGGAAATAACTTTACTTCTCGTTCCACGCCGCCAAACCGAGTTAGTGGCTTTTAGCGCGGGTCCTTTTACTTCGTGGACCTCGTTACTACCGAGCTCCAAACCGGAACTGTCGTTATTTTATCGAAGTGGCGAAGGGAGTCGCGCGAGATTCTCCCCAGAATTCGTCCCGGTTAACCCGGGAGTAAGCGCGCCCTATTCCGCCATATTGATTCGTCTTTCGATTAGGGTAAACTCGGATATTATGGCCATACTGAAAAAATGGCTGTAATTTCTCTAATAATTACGAAACATTGTGTTTGTGTAATCAATCACAAAGATAATCGATATTTATCGTAGTGTATGTGCGTACATTTTTCGAAATAGCAAGATTATGAATATTATACTATATTTTTATTTCCGAGTACCTGTAAAATTTCTCATGTGTCCACTAAAACTTGCTGTAACGTCGAATAAGTTACAGTTAAACTATCGCAACCAACGTTAGATACATAAAGTAGGTATGTAAATTGTAATATAACATGCATTTTTATTTTTGTTTTCACTATTTGTTTATAAGTACTATTATAACCGTCTTTCACTCACATTTTGGGTAAGATGGGCCACTATCATTCTAACGTTTATAAAACGAAAGTCGTTATATTTCAAAAGTTACTTTCAATATTACAGTAATTAAATCTTATGTGCAATATGTTTTGATCAAAAATTGGATTTAGAATTGAAGTTTGTAATAGAGGTTTCTATTTTATATATGTATTATATTTTTATATATGTATTATATATATGTATTATATATGTATTATATATATGTATATTATATATGTTTTATATATGTATTATATTTTTCACAAATAATATGTATTAAATATCTTACACTAAAATGAATATGTCAAATTATATTTTTTTCATTATTTTATAAAATAATAGGTACAGAATCAAGAATATAAAATATGTATGGGTCATCTATTCTTTATGGCCATCTTATCTTAATAATTTAGGTAAAATGGCCAGTGCTCATGTTTTGATATTTTTGTAATAAATAATTTCACTGAAGTATTTTCCTTTTAACTCTGATGGTATTATGTACTATAGGCTTCAATGAAGTAATGTACCAAACGTTATTAAGAAATAACAATAAGAAATGTATTTTTTTTACATTTAAAAAAGTATGGCCATCTTATCCGAGTTTACTCTATATCTACCAATTTGTTGATCATTTCATACTTTACCTCTGAATTTTTCCTAGTCTTTTGCATGTATGAAAAAACAGTTCCATTAATCTAACCGGATTTTCTGTTACTTGGGGACCATAGATGAAAAATCTGGTTGTAGCAACAGAAAGATTCTTGTAGGAGGTCCCTATTCAGCCAATTACTCTCAATTATCTCCACCGAGTTTTGATGCAGCTGAATGTTCAGACGAATGTTTTCGGTCATAGTTTTACAGAGATGTTATTTCATGTTAGCGAATTTTTCGTCTGGTCTTCACTCAGTTGTTCGAACTAACTTTTTTCCGTGTAGTATACAAAAGCAGAATATGTTTATTCCCGTATGAACATGTGGAATAATATGAGCATGTGATATGTCGGAATTTTCATTTCATAAATCTGGCTTATTTGTATGAATTTTAACGCGCATATGATATTTTGTTATGTTACAAATGTGTTTTATCATTTATAAAAATAACCTAGTAAAAATAGAATAAATTTAAAAAGAGAAGTGAAGGGAAGTAGGAAAACGAAGAAAAAGGGAATATATTTCTAATCATTAAGCGCGAGGGTGTGGGTTGTAAAACAGTTGAGGCACAATGAAGTTTACGCCCATTATACGTGACTTGTGATTTACGCTCTGCAATTTGCAGTGCTGGTTACCTTCAACTCAAAAGAGTAAACATTAATTCCATTTCTCGACACAAGAAAACCTAACGAAAAAATCGTAAAAATAAACATGGGAATCCGGCAGTATCGGTTTTATTTTCTAAAGAGCTCGGATTAAAATATTCGAGTTATTGATTATTATTACTCCGTCATCTTCTTTAGTGACTTGTATCGCTGTTGAAGTGATCCTTCAGTCGTATTTTTATTCTAAAATCGCATCGCCAGCCGTTAACGGGTTAATCTTCAAGGTAGACCCTCGGCCGAGTGCCGAGCTGGTCTCAAGTAGAAACAGACGACAGCAGGGCGGACGCGGACCGCGTGAATGAGAGCTCACGTATGCCTATGAGAAAGATAGACGTCTTTATCGCGTGTTTCTCTTGAAAGAGAGTAAAAAATGAGGGAAGGGAAACGGCGTATCGATTTATTTCACTGGCCGTCGTCAAGGAACTGCATTTCAATATTATCGCATGATAAGATTGCGTTACACACTTTATTGCCGCCATTGTCCAAATCTCCGACTTCCTGACTCGGTGAAAGAAGAAAAAAGAAAGGAAGAAGAAGGGGAAAGAAAGGACGCATCGCTCGTGTCTTTTCCTTCGTCTTCGTCGGCCACGTCGCGATGTTGCGCGGATTTATCGAGAACCGTGTGTGTGAATATGACTGCGATATTAATTGATGCGACATTAATCGAGAGATATCTAGGCGAAAGAGGAATTCAGAAGCGTGAAACGACTGGATGAGTCGTGTATTTGACACAGGGTGTCTCACGCTAACCACCAAATATCAAAATGGCAGGTTGATGTGGGATTGTATATGTGTACATGTCTGGAGAATGTGTTAATTAAAATTAATTAAAATTATACTTACGTAGAAATGTTGAGACGCACACGCAAAAAAAATTTCAGTGGGTGTAAACAAATAGGAATCAACTGAAAATTAGGTAATTAGAAGCGATATCTTTGTTATGAAAACTAATATTTCTGTTGTCGCAACCAAAAATATTCGTCTGAACATTCAACGATATTAGAATTCAGTTGAGGCAACTGAGAACAATTTGATTATACAGAAGCCTCATAAAGGAATTTTTCTGTTCCTAGCCGAGTTTTCGTCTGATCCCTGAGCAACCGAAAATTCGGTTGCACCAACAGAATTGTTTTTTCCGTGTAGGATACCATGAGTCTCGTTAAGAGAACGCAGCTTTGCCGGAATGACGGTTGTAAAATTCAATTTCCATTATTCCCGAGACGCAGACGGCTCGGTTCTTCGGGTTAGCTTAGGATGTTACTTAACGATATTTTCAATCCAGAAATAAGCTTTGATTCACACGCCTCGTGTTTTACGCGATCTTTAGTCACGAGTCGCGGCCTCTAATATTATTTTTATCTGGATCTCTTAGCACCGTCCGTTCTGTCCGAGCTGGCATAACTTTTGACGCCACGTGGCCACGCGATGGCGTCGCAGGCGATAAAACTATTGCCAAACAGTTTTCGCATCTTATCAAGTCAAAGTTTTCCGCTGCCACTGACATTTCCTCTCCTCCTCGCCTCCGACAATCGTGTTCCTGATTTGGTCGCCGAAAAATAATCGGCATCTGGTCCGATTTAGCTTATATCTTTTTTGCGATTCGGATCTTCGATTTTTCGATCAGTCGCGTGGGAGATCTTTAAATCAATGGTCTATAGCTATTTCAAATGCGGGATGCTGAGAATACAAAACAAAGTCAGCCGTAACTATATAATGTTCCTTTTAATTACACCAGAGATTTGAGTAAAACTTAAACCAAGGATCGTGCAGGTTTACCGATTTCTCGCTCGGCGTCTGCAACGTAGTGAAAAACGCAACACAAGGTCGTGATGACCGGTTCTATCTACTCGAGATTACCTGAGTCGAAATTTTAGCCGCACTTTCGAGCTGAAATTTCCAACGATTTGTACATTCTGAAGGATCAAGTATACGTTTAGAAATTGAAGTTCTACTTGACGCCCCCTAAATGGCAGAAAACACAAAGTGCTACTTGTAAATTCTGAAAGAGGATCTCTCGGCAAAGCCAGTAAGTCAAATGAGAGATTGATAGAGTTTCAGAGTATCACAAAGTAGACGTTAGATAGAATATTGAGGTGAAAAATAGATTCAAAATCTCGACTCTGGTAATTACTCGGGCCACGGACAATTAGCAATCAGGGGTTGCGACTTGACGTTGCTAAGTCGATCGCTCTTGGTGACGTCGGCGCCAGTATCTCTCCTCGTAGGAAGAAGCGACCGAGAGTGAAATGCCTCTGGGAGAAGGGGTCGCAGGGAAGGAAGAGGTGAAAAAAGGAGAAGGAAGGCAGATAATAGCTGCAACGAGCCGGCGTCTCTCTCTTTCTCTCTCTCTCTCTCTCTCTCTCTCTCTCTCTCTCTCTCTCTCTCTCTCTCTCTCTCTCTCTCTCTCTCTCTCTCTCTCTCTCTCTCTCTCTCTCTCTCTCTCTCTCTCTCTCTCTCTCTCTCTCTCTCTCTCTCTCTCTCTCTCTCTCTCTCTCTCTCTCTCTCTCTCTCTCTCTCTCTCTCTCTCTCTCTCTCTCTCTCTCTCTCTCTCTCTCTCTCTCTCTCTCTCTCTCTCTCTCTCTCTCTCTCTCTCTCTCTCTCTCTCTCTCTCTCTCTCTCTCTCTCTCTCTCTCTCTCTCTCTCTCTCTCTCTCTCTCTCTCTCTCTCTCTCTCTCTCTCTCTCTCTCTCTCTCTCTCTCTCTCTCTCTCTCTCTCTCTCTCTCTCTCTCTCTCTCTCTCTCTCTCTCTCTCTCTCTCTCTCTCTCTCTCTCTCTCTCTCTCTCTCTCTCTCTCTCTCTCTCTCTCTCTCTCTCTCTCTCTCTCTCTCTCTCTCTCTCTCTCTCTCTCTCTCTCTCTCTCTCTCTCTCTCTCTCTCTCTCTCTCTCTCTCTCTCTCTCTCTCTCTCTCTCTCTCTCTCTCTCTCTCTCTCTCTCTCTCTCTCTCTCTCTCTCTCTCTCTCTCTCTCTCTCTCTCACACACACACACACACACTCTCTCTCTCTCTCTCTCTCTCTCTCTCTCCACGAACCGGCGACCCCGAGCTGTCAAAGTCCGTCGTCGGCCAGTGTTGCCCCCCGGGTCATTCTTCCATCTATAACGGGCATTATTTACAGCCTCGTGCGCGCACATCTCGCGTCGCGAGAAGATTATGAGTTCCGCCAACCAACCAACAATTCGCCTGCATTCCGGTGTGTTTTGCTATACGTGGATAAGTCAGGAGCAAACAACGCGATTTCGAACGACCTGATCGACGATACGATCGCGGTGACGCACATTGGTCATTGCTCCCCTTCGTCGTATGGCGCGCTAGAGGAACATCGATAGAACGCGATCCGGGACTCGACAATACGCGGCTGGCATAATGTCGCATAATCGCACAAGCGTCTTCTGCTTGAGGGACGCTTCGTGTACCTTTCAAAAAAGTTCGGAATAAGGGAACGGTCAGATGTTATACTTCAGATCATCTTAGGTTGATCTTCAGACGCCGTGAAGATTGTTTCATTGGAGCATCCGAAGGTGAACTTAAGACGATCTCAAATAAAAGATCTGACTATACGTATACCGTCCTTAGAATTTGGCTCATCAAGTCTCTAGTCTTTCTTTTGCATCTGGCGAGCTGTATCGGCCAACTGATCGACTTCACGAGTCGACAAATCGGCTGCGTTCGTTCGCGGACACCGATCTTGACCGAGGAATACTATTCAAATATTTCACGCGCAAAAAGAAGTTCGATCGGTTTATCGATAGCGTGCGCGATTCGCATGTGTGCTCTTTTTTCCCTTTGGTTCGTGCGTGTCATCTGCGCGGTCGTTCTTCAACGCGTTACCCCGGCCGGGTCGAATCGAAGCAGACCGATCGCGACATACTCGACGCCGAGGACACGGCGCCGAGGAGAGCTGTGTATTTTTAACGCGATACAGAGCCGAACTTGACCTTTGCACCTATTTTTCATTCACTCGCGGTGTCATTTAAGTTCCGTTTGAGATGCGAGCGAGCAAGCGAGCGCGACTATCGGCGACCGCGCTCTTCTACTTTGCAACAAATGTTGTCCCTCCTCCCTTTAGTAATGCCCGGATGCGCTTCCTGTCTTTCAAGTTAACGCGATCCCCATGAGTGAGATATTAACGATTATCAACTAACATGTCGTTAACTAACAAGATGGAAAATAGGATTAACATACTTGCGTACATACACACATACATACTTGCTCTCTCTCTCTCTCTCTCTCTCTCTCTCTCTCTCTCTCTCTCTCTTTCTCTCTTGCTCTCTCCTTCTCGTTTTGTCTCTTTCTCTACGCTCGACAAAATTGTTTCAGAATCTCTTAAATTCGCTCAAATCGCACGTAGCTGTTTGCCGACGATTGCTTCGACAGAAGCGAGGCGCCGATAGCGTCCCTTCAATAAATAAATGTCACACTCTCCGCACAATTACTCACACTGAAAAATAAGTACGAACTCATTCTAGATATCATCCTCATCACATCTTTGGCGCGTACGTTGTTCCCGGAGACGGTGCGCGAGGTCCAAGCGATTCTCGGGATCCCCTCACGACGGTGGGTGCGATGTGGACCGTCAGAGTCGCGGTTCACGAAGCAGGTTTCCCCCTCATGTGCGAAACAACAACGTTTCCAGTGGATTCAACGTTACGCTTCAGTTCAGTGGTCCCTTTTCTTACTGCACCACTGTCAGCAGCGGATTATGCTGCGCGGGTTGCGCCCTTATGACCGCGGCTACGCGTCTGAAGGGCAACTGCAAGTGGTAATAAGCGCAATAGGGCAGCGGGTCCCAGTAAACGAAGAGCGCCTCCCGCTTGTCCAGCACCGTGCCCAACAGGTGGGTCGCCATCTCGCCGGTGGGTCGCTTGAAGACGCTCGCCATGGCGTCCGACAACAGCGGATTCCTATCTGACGTGGCCAGCACCCCCGAGTTCTGCCTGGAGAAGTGTCTGCAGGGCTTCCAGACCAGGCGAGGGTGTACGCCGGTGTGACAGACGTACGGCAAGCTGACGCCAACGCGACAGCCGATAGACACCAGCTCGCCCATCCGCTCTGAAACCGCTAACCGGAAGCTCACGTGGCCGTTGACCCTGCCGCCGAAGGAACGAGCAAAGAAGCGCTCGAGCCAGCGCGTCACCTCCGGACGTTCCTCGGGTATGAGTCCTCGCGCCTCGTCCACCCGGCAGGTGACGTTCGCGACGATGCGAGACTCTTTCAGGGTGGTGCACGTGATGAAATGATCCCCGCCAGGGTCGCGGATCACCACCCACGGGCGTGTCTCGCTGATCTCATGCTGCTGGTTCCGGAACTCGCGTGCGGTCGGCGGCAGCAGGACCTTGGCGTGATCGCGCATCCCGGCGGGACCAGCGGCCAACATGACGTAACGGCCGGTGCGGAAGGTGTTCTGCTCGTAGAGGGTGGACAGGTCCTGCATGGAGCGCAGGAGGAAGTGTTGAGGATTCGCGAGGCCAAGCAGCCGGCAGCGTCGCAGCAGCTCCAACGGATCGTCCAGTGCGGTGACTTCGCCGGCGTCTGGCACGAAGCACTCGCAGCCCATGATCTCGAGATGCGGCTTCGCCAAGGCGTCGTAGTACGCCGTGTTGGCGGCGCTCACCGGTATGTAGTAGGCGATCTTCTCGCGCTGCACGATATCGCGCAGCGCCTTGATGTACTCGACGACGTTCCTGACGCCTGGCTGCGGTATCGTGTAGAACTTGGAACAGGCGGTGGAGAATCTGGCCAGGCCGAAGAGACCCTCGTGCTCGCACACCACCACGCGGGCACCGGCCTTGTAGAAGTTCCGCGCCAAGTGCACCGCCTGCACCGTGCTACCGCCGCTGATGAGCACGCAGCGTTTGTTGCGGGAGCGCTCGTACGCCGGGGTGTGCAGCACTGTAATGAACCATTTAAGGGCGGTTAACGGCAGTTGCAGGATCACCCAGAACAGGCATACCCAGGCTGAGGCCCAAAGAGCCGGCGCCCAGATAGCGTAGCCGATGACGTTGAGGATGCCCCGAAGAAGACTGGCCACCAAGCCGAAGTACCAGGTGAAAATCCACGCCAGCAAGGAACCGCTGCTCTGCTCGACGTTGCGTTCCGTCGTCGTGCTCTGTGTCCTTTGTTGATGATGACTCTGGTGGTGATAAGGCGACTGCTGTTGCCGTTGCTGCTGCCGTCTTTGCGAAAGCATCGCCGGCATCGGCATGTTCGAGGCGGACGACGCCCGCGACAGCAGGCTGATCGGAGGTGCGTGCGACGTCGAGGCGAACACGTTCGACGACGTCGAACGCTTCAAGTTGCCAACCGGCGACATCCTGGGCGGCGACGTGAACAATGGCGAGTCAGGTAGCGACGGCGACACGCTGTTGCTCCGCGACATCGGCGGACTGGAGGACCATCTCGAGGTGCTCTCGCTGGAGCAAGCGGGCATCTTGCTTTTCTTGCCGCGTATCGCCGCTCTTCGAGACGATCCACCGGCTGGGTATTACGAGTCACGAGCCAGAGCCGTTCGGTGGAAATCTTTGTACCCAGGAGTCATACCTCGATGCTTGAGGACGGACGTTGATTACGTGAACGTCTCGGAAAGAAGCGCGGTTTTTGTCCCTAGGTCGCGCCGGTTGCGAGAACACCGAACAGCCGCACCGCTACCGATCACCGCTGCGAATCGGCTGGATTGTCGCAGAGCGGAAGCGGTAACGAGACGAGAAAACGCAGCACTACATGCAGCAACAAGGAGACGACGATGAGTGGAACGTGACGGCGTCTTGTGTATTGACGACGACTCGGGGAGAAGAAACGGTCGACTGTTGTCCGCGCTTAATAATTGCCGGTTTGCACACGCAGCTTTAACTGAGGCCGATCCACGGCCATCTCGGTCTCTTATGAGGTTGCATCTTGGGCGCACTATGAACCGGAGGCCTTATCTAATCGTCATGCCTCAGACACCGCGACGGGAAGAAAGAAGGAGTCGCAAAATATGTCGTCTGATCTCGTTTTTCCTCCGTTTGCTTTTTATTTTTTGTTGTCTCATACGAATTTCCCGAGAGAGACGTTGAATTCACCCTGAAAAAGCCGTTCGTCTGTCGCTCCGCTCATTTTCTGACCGGCTCGAGAATCACGAGGCTCGCACACCGTCAAAAGTTGCAAAGCACGGTCGTTTTGTTTTGTTAAATATACTTTGCAATCGATTTGATCAATCGTGCAATCGACGACAACGGAAATACATCCAGCTTGCAAGTTGTCTGCAAATTCGAGTCTCGCTGAACTCGTCTCGACAAAGTTGTTCTCGATATTAAAATTGGATCTCGCCCGGAAGATCTTCATTTTCTATTGAAACGATCACAACGATTATCTTCACGAAATAGCGAAGGATAAGGACCAAGTCCTTAATAGTTTAAAGTTACACGACAAATAAACTATCAAAGATGCGCGCTCTTCAGCAGCTATAAGAAAATGTCTCAGATGTCTCGCGACAATTTATCGTCTCTGGCGTCATCTGTCAAGTTAACGATACATTAGTCAGCATACAGCATTAGTCAATATATGTTAATAAAAACGACACGTCGATATTAATTGAGGCCTGAAGATACCGTCGATATATTATCGCCCGACTGAAGTGGAATCTTTTGCACACGTGTTTCAATAATAATTCACAATGCAAAGAGTGAAAGAACTTTCTGTATTATTTGCTCCTACTCGAGTTAATAAGTTTTTAATAGCGTTCTCAATCATATGAATGTATATCAAGTTGTGGCGCTACAGAGAGCTGAGAGAAAAAAAGATCCCCCTGCAAGATTTGAGTATTTGAAGAAATGACGTTCCTTTTGAATACAACTTTATTTCATACATTTAGAATATACTTATCTTGTAAATTGTATAATACGTTATGGTCTTATTTGGCTTAATGAAATACAATAATTTGCTGTCTTTAGAATTTGTTTGTCTTCTCTTTACTGTCGCGGCACTTAAGCCAGTAAATATAGTCTCGACCACTATTCTAGGTAAACGAAAGTACCAATTCTGTAGAATTTCCACGTTTATCCAAAATTTCAGTTAAAAGATTACATATTTTCTCGAGGAAAGTCCGTCGAAAGGCAAGACATTGAATTGACTTTCTTAATGTTAAATGTACATTCATTTTTTTATGCATTACTCTGTTATTTTCGCGTGCACTCATTGTTATAGTGACAATAATAACAAACAAAAACTGCGCAAAACATTGTTATTTTTAAGAGTGTATGTAATTTCGATCCACAAAACAAGTGATTGCAGCTGCATTAAAAATCAGTGGTCTTGCAATTCAGCGCAAATTGTCGTGAGTTCTGCGTTATACATATACACACACATATATATATATATAAGCGACATTCGATAAATTATTATATTTCACTCATCTTAATCGATTAGTCAAATAAAGACAATTTCTTACAACTTTGGCCCATTCAATATAATTATAGCAATCAGAATCTACTATACAACGTTATTCAAATATCAGCTAACAGTACAGTCGCTCTCTAACTACATATTATATATATATATAATCATTATATATATGTATATAATGATTGGTATGTATACATGTATATAATTTCTATGCGCAGGAGTGGCAAATGTATTCTTACATACAGGCGCATAAACGCATTCGTGCAATATTCACAGACATTCGTCGCACACGCACACACATGTGTGTATCGGGTATTACAATATTTATTTATATATATATATATATGTATATATTACTCTCTAAGATCTATATTTTTTATCATACATTTTTAAGCAATAAATATTCTCATATGCTTCTCTCTTCGTTCTCTACTTATATACAATTTGAGGTCTAACTGTATAATGCACAGTTCTCTTATATTATTCTATCAAATCCATTTCGGTGGATATTAATCGCTTGGATGAAATGACGTCGCGTTGTGAAAATTTCTTCTGTACGCTATTTAAAAAAATATTGAGAAAATATAATTTGCTAATACAATATCGTAATGAAACAATCTTTTATCGCGTGTATCATTCCACAGAAGAATTGTGTACGGTTGTTATACTACAACAAAATATCATATATATACACATATATAAAAAAATCGAAAAGGGTAAAAAGAAAATGTACTCTCGCAAACGCAATCATAACAGCTGTGTACTGTTTTGTCAAAGTTATCTGCATAATAAACTACAGATTATCAATTTTTACGTATAATAATTACAAAGCCGTGTCATGTTGTGATTCAAGTAATTTGTATTGTAGCATAACAACGGTACAACGTAGAATTCCTTTCGAGAGCATTTTATTCTTATTCTCCAGATAAACTATGTAATAAACTGTATGTCGAATTTCGTTCAAAATCTATGGGATACTCAAACGCTGCGGATACGCAGTGGTATATACTCGATTTATATATAATTAAAAATAATACTTTTCTCATATAAAATAATAAAGTAAAATTTCGCCGAGTAAAAACGAAGTTATCTATACTTTGTGTGTGTATGTATACATATATATGACTAGAAATCATAGTTAAACCTGCTAATGCCATTGTGATCTCTGGTTTAAATTATGTATATTTAATTACATATACTGTTATAAGGTAACAAAATAATATATCTTCTCGCAATTATTTGCAACTTAATAACTTGGTTCGTTCTAACAAGTGTTCGATCCCTTTGGTATAATTTTTATCTTTATAATAACGAATATTGGCCCAATAAATCACTCCCAATAGACGACATATATTCACTATCATTGAGAAAATATATGTCACTAAATCGTTCGGTCTTTCGCTACGTTCTCGTCAGATTTTTCATTCGAGTGAGAAGCAGAATATAAATAATTGACGATCTGTAAATTTGAACTGACGTGCACGGTAACACACGGATGTGCTGTTCATGCACGATAAATGGTAATTCTTAGACGCGCGTGCATAATTTATATATTAGAGCGCCAATATTCTTTCGGGTGTGTGTTGTCACGTATTGCCTAGTTCGACTTCCTTGTCTCTTGTTGCTCGCATTCAACAACATTGTGCTTACGACACATCGATCTATCAACATAGAGCAACGCTAAAAATAATCCGGTCAAGATACATGTTCGCTCGCGCTCCCGCTCGTGATTGTATCTTTTTTCTATCTCAATTTATGTTCGCTATAAAATTTGTGCTTTCACAAGGAAGTGAATACGTATCAATAGAGAATACAAACAGTAGTGGAGTTAATTATTTCGAATGACAATATAAATCTCACAATTGATTCTTAAGTCGGTCTCGATATTTATAAAACTCTCCAAAACAATCTCTCTCTCTCTTTCTTTCTCTCATCGATCTGATTTTCATATCATGATTTGCATATCATAAGAAACTTAAACTTTCATACAGAAGGTGTTCTACACTTGTAAGCGTCGAATATAGTGAACTTTGTAAATTTATTAAGCCCATACGAGGATTTACATATACATATATATACACATTTGTATATATGTATATATAATTCATCATGGAAATGAATCGCACGATATTAGCTCTATACATAAGGTTCATGATACATTAACTTGTAAACAATCACTTGTATTTCACATTTATGTCACTGCTAATGCACATTAGTCGGTGGTTTTTAAAGTCTCTATGGTTTTGTGTTTAAGTGTCTTATAATTAATAACACGTTACGTAGATACGGTATTGTCTATTATGAGAAGTTATGATTTCTATATCTTTGGGTAAAACGTCAGGACACACACTGCAATAATATACTTTTTTGTTGAATCGCAACACGGTTTCTATAGACAGCTTGTTACATATATTGTTCGCGATAAAAAAGTCACAAAAGTACGCTTTGTATACGCAACAAAAGATAAATAATTGTATATAAATATATCAGAAAGTAGTATTTTTCCAATTTATGTGGCATGATTTTTATAGATTATAAAATACGGACAAGTCAAACATACAAAATAAAAAAAAACTCATCACATCATACGAGAATAAAATTAAAAATAGAAAACAAATATTTATCTATATAAAAATGAACTTGTACATTCTAATTTTTCTCTTTATCGACACATATTAAATAAATTTAAAATAAAATTTACAACTCTATAATTATACTTTCAATTTTAACATATATAACATTAAAACATTGCAGAACGCTTAAGTAATATAATATTAATATAAGTCGACTAATATCAATAAAAGCCACTGACTATTGCTAAATTAAAATAGAAAAATAAAATCACAGATTAAATACATACGATATATGTATACTTAATTCTCTTGGAAATAATATTCAATAATTATATTAAATGTAACTTATTACATGTACACAATGCAATGATTAAAAGTAATACAAATGATCTATCATTTTTGTCTTAATGCGCCATTATTTAGGAAAAGAACATTAATACACATGAGAGATTTAATTTAGGATAATTTAAAAGATACACCTTATGTTCCCCTTATGTAAGTTTTACGGGTAACATGCAACTTCATCTCAACGTGATCTCTGATTTGAAATATAGAGAAATATAAAAATTTAACATATATCTTATACAAAATTGCCGTTAATTAAAAAAAGATCAAGACATAAATTCAACGGTAGTTTAATATATTAAAATCTCGTTTGTCATTATTTAGAAAATTCATGATTTGAAATAAATGACAAATATATACAATTTAACGAACACATGATAAATGTAGATAACTTTGTTCTCATATTTTTGATAAAACTAATAAATAATGGAAATGTCGTCGAAATCAAAATGCAAGGATCATTTCTTGTCAGATATAGACAGAACCGCGATTGGATCGCACTCATTTAGTGGAAATGCAATAGATTGCGCGTCAGTTAGTCAGTACATAAAGGAGGACAGTACGTACTCCACGGTTGTTGTCATGTGCAGAAATTCAACTAAACGATATATATATATATATATATATATATATATATATATATATATATATATATATAT